TGAAATAGTATCCTTAAAAGAAATCTATAAGTGAATTTCGTTCTAAAGTAAGTAGCACTAGGACTAGTTACAGTGCTTCTCTTATTATTATATACTTATTTAAAATAATCACTTTTTTTAAAGTAAATATTGGATATATGAATCGGTTGTTACCGTGTCAAAGTATATTAAACAATTTTAAATTTCTCCGGTCTGAATTCGGTAGAGTTAGCTAAAAGTAAATTCGCAGTAATTGTTAAGTACTCAAAATCTGGGTTGACTTAAACAGAAAGATTTAAGTTACAGTCCATATATAGATTTAACTGTACTAATAAATAAGTGCTAATGATTTCATTTTTCTATTATATATAATATATTCACAACTTGTTACATTAATATCACATAGATAAATTGGTTCGGTGCACGTGACACATGTCGTAGATTGGGTGCTGATTTGGCTACTATAACAACTAATGATCAACTTAATGCAATATCAAGTTATTTGTTATCTAAAGGATACGGAGAAAATGATTGGTTTTGGATAGCTGGCAATGATTTGGCTCAAGAAGGAAATTTCTCTTGGGTTAGTAATGGTGAAAAAATGACATTTGCAAACTGGTCTCAAGGACAACCAGACAATAATGGTGGTATCGAAGATTGTGTACATTTGTGGTTGCGTGAAGGACAATTTAAAATGAATGATTGGCAGTGTAGAAACGGAAAAGCCTATTATATTTGTCAAGCACCCGAACCTAAAATGGTCTGTTTATGGGTATAATTTAATATTTGAAAAAAAAAAAATTTGTTTTTTAATGAATGAATGAATAATAAAAATATTTTTTCAAAAAATATGAAATCGTTTTAAGAAATTCGTAAAAGAATTTTTACTTTTTTTTTTTATAAAATATATAAGATAATAATAATCTTATAATATAAGATTATATAATAATAATATATATATAAGATTCAATTTTTTAAATAGTGAATATAGGTGACTATTTTTATATAAGAGCTCGTGTTAGACAGTAATGCTATATATTAATTTTAGTTATTCCGAAAATAATTTCGTTTCCTTAAAGCTTTAAATATTCAATTGAATTTTATCTCTATATTGGTCGAATATCTTCTGAGCTCTTTCTGACAGTAGATTACAAAACTTTTGATATTTGCTAGCACTAAACTGATTTAATTAATTTCTGACGTCTTAAGTTAAATAAACTATAATTGGATTCAACCAGTTCTTGAGAATATGGTAATTGTGGTAGTACATCCAATTCAAATTGTAAAAATTTTTATCAAGCTATCAAATGTCTGTAAGGTTTTTTATTGTTTTGCTGCTACTTCTATGTCATATTTTTTGCATTGTTCAATTGTGGTATTTTTTGTTTGACTAAGTAACTCCATTTGTTCAGTTAAATTGATCATATCATACTTTTGAATTGATCTTGAAGTTCTACCAATCAGATAATAACATTTTTTTAATTAATATTGGGTTCGAATGTGCTTTAAGGCGTTGCTTCTTTTTTACTGCATAATCTGTTCTATTTTATAATAACTACTACATTAGAGACTACTATTTTTCTTTCCAGTTAATTTGTATTAAAAATAAATCATTTTTTTCCAAAATTATAGAAGTTAGTATGATTGATCAAATTTTTTTCTGTAAAAATATGAAGAATCCATAAGTAATAAGAGCGTTTTGTATTAAATTCGATTAATTTAACATCTTAACGATTTTATAATCATGACCAATCTTTATTATGTCTATGTGTATTACTTGAAAACCAGTTCTGTGATCATTACAGTACATATCAAATAATTCTACTCTTACTTTAGCAACATTTTTACATTATTAATAGTTACTTTCAAATATATTATTATTTAATCCTTTTATTCCTAGGTGGAACAGAGGGCCGTAACAAATAGTTTCCATTGAACTCTATCTAATGCAAGACGTTTTGTTTCACTCCCGCTCTTTCCAGCATTTCTTAATTCGGCTTCAGTTTGTCGTTTCCAAGTGTTGCGCGGACGCCCTGGTCTTCTACTGCCTTGAGGGTTGAAATCTAAGACATTTCTTGCGATATCATCAGCGGGTTTTCTTAACGTATGGCCAAGCCATTTGTATTTGCGCATCATTATTTCATCAGTTATAAGAGGCTGATTCGTTCTAAACCCGAGCTCATTGTTGGTTATGGTTGCTGGCCAGAATACATGAAGGATGCGTCGTAGACAACGATTGACAAAGGCTTGTAGCTGTTGTGCGTCTCTTGCCGTTAGGTTCCAACTCTCACTACCATATAGTAAAGTTGATTTTACGTTTGCATTGTACAGGTGTATCTTAGTGCGTTGTGTGATGTTGGATGAACGCCAGATTTTGTTAAGGGTTCCAAACGCTTGCTTCGCTTTCGATAGCCTGTACTGTATGTCTTGCCGACTGCCGCCGTTGTTCGAAATGTAGCTTCCCAGATAGCAGAAACTTTGTACATCTTCGATGTAGGAGCCATCTAGTTGAAACTTCGTTAAGCAGTTTGAATTGAAACGCATAGACTTGGTTTTGTTGATATTGATTGACAGACCAGCTGCCAGTGCACGCTTTGCGATGTTGTTTAACGATATTTGCATCTGGGAAAAGTTATGCGTTAGTAAACAGATGTCATCAGCGTAATCGAGGTCAGTAAGTTTGTTATGAAGGCCGAATGATATGCCATGATTTGTGCTCATAGCTTCCGACATAACCACATCTAAGACTATATTAAATAGTATAGGTGAAAGAATGCAACCTTGCAACTTTCAAATATATAATATTCGGATATTATATATGTTATGTTCACGGGCTTGTCATCGTACTATCACCATCTGCAAGCGAATATAGGTGGACATAATATATAAATATATAAAGAAACCCTTTGACTAGCAATCCTTGTAATTTCAGCTGTCGAGTTCGAAAATTTTATTACGACATAAATATGAAATTGGGTTCGAAAAGATAAAAGATGAATTATGTACTTGTAGAGAAACAGGAAAATATTCTCCGAATTTCTCAATATTTTTGTTTAATATCTTGAACTAGTTATTTTGTTCTATAAGTTTTCACATTAGTGGAAAATTTTGTTTTAAGTTATATAGAATTATAATTTAGCCTATTAATTTCATTTTTCTATATAAAGTTGATATATGTTTTATCGAATTTAAAACATTTTAAACATAAATTTTAAAACACTATGAGGTCTTTTTTAATCGCCCCAACCGATCGGTAGATTTGATGTGTGAAAGATATAAATTTTAACACAACCCTGACTTTAACAATGCTTGAACATGCTAAAAAGAAATTCATTTCTTAGTTTACTTTAATAAGATTAACAAAGAAAACGTTAATTTTTTTTTATCTTTTATTTTTCCACAAACCACTTGTTGTTATATGTGTTTAAATAAATTTGTTTTTTTTTTCTACATTTAAGTGTATATGGTAAATTCACTGTAAATACTTTAATATCTGCTTGCTTAATTTTCTTAAGCACTATTTTTATTTTTCTACTTTTAAATGCAAACACCAGCACACAATTGTGGACTCAAGCAAATTTTTATAGCTTTTTCCTCTATTAAAATATCGCATTTCATCATGCATTGTCGGCAGCCTGGCGCTTTGATAGCTTTTAGTATCTGAATATAGCCTTCCATATAATTTTTTGCACTTTGGTGCTGCGCTGCTTTAGTTGGGAGTTTCTACGAAAGTGTTTATGAATGTGTCCTTGCTTATGCGTTTGTTTGGTTGCACTATACAATTTAACTCTACACATAGCACAGTAATTAGATTTCTGGGTTAATTTTGAAATAGTGTGGCACAGAAAGAAAGGAGGGAAAAATATTTCAAATGCTTGTGGCAACTCTAAAGGCCACTTAACTGCTTTATTTTACATACAAAATTGTTGATTTGGAAATTACATCTTCAGTTACAGTTAAGGCAATTCTAGAACATGTTTTTTGATTAGTGTGACACATTTCAACATAATTAAGTCTCCTTTATAGTTTTTATATGCATGTATATCTTTTGTGTCATAATTGCTCATCTGCATTTGAGGTTAATATTATATTTTCATATAACATAAACATTGTTAGTTGGTTGGTTGGTTAGTTCACTTCTTCAAAAATTCTATTAATATTGAAGTGTCAGGCTTTCACTTGTTAGTACTTCAAATGCACAAATTATTTTCTTTATATTCAATTTTATTTATGCATTGCAGTTCAAAGTAATATATTTTAGTTTGCAATTTATTTGAGTTATATCTTATTACTATTTTTTTGTGAGTAGGTAGTAAATGAATATAAAATGGAGCTATTCATGTTAGGAGTGTTCACTACTATTACGACTACCGAGCTCTTACTAATTACTAAGCAGTGAAAGTATAATCTATTAGTGAGAACCGGTGAGAATACCTGAAACCCTATCGATTTGTAAAATGTTGATGTGTTACATTAACTTATCTGTTATCGGCATTAGATAGTTTTTTTTTATTATATAAAATTTCAATAAAAAATATAAATAACATAAAAAATACTAAAATTTCTTAATTTACAAATTTAATATATAAATTACTTCATAAAATATTCTTTGGTTTAAGAAATCAAAAATATCAAGATGGTATTAATTAATTTATATAATTTTTATACTTTTGTTAGAAAAAAGATTTTTAGATATTTATTATATGGAAATAATGCCTTCTAGCACATTTTATTCTATTATTTGTGGGCAACATCTTGGGACTGATTTACTTTATTTCTAAGCCACTAGACAACTTTTATTATACTTAATTTAAAATATTGTAATATTGTGTGCAATGTTATGTAATATTTCATAAAAATGCCGTCTTAACAAAACGTTTTCTATAAATGGTAAAAATATATATAGCAATCCTATGTTTATTCCTAGAATCCTAGAATCCTATTCCTAGAATAAATACCTAAAAAAGCTAGGCAATAAATTGCATCAGATTAAGATTGTTTTCAAAAAAAAGTCTTTTTTAATAATATGTAACACAATTAAACGTTAAAAATATATGCATATCACTTGCATTCATATAATATAATATGTGAGGTATAGAAATGTTTGGCACATTGAGGCAGAGGTAGCATATAGCATCACCGATTTGAAAACTGAAGCTAAATGAACTCTATCGGTGTCCTTGGAACCTCCTACGTTTGGCATTGAACGGATTAATGTATTGCACACACGTGAGGCTATATTACCCGATTGCTTTGTTGTGTTCTGAAACATAGCGAACTATCTAAAATGTTGCCGATATATGTAAGTTGAGGGCTGGATTGTATATTTAAGCCACACACTTTAATTAAGATCCTTTCAATCTTTTTCCTACTGCTGGTTAATAGCACCTTTGTTATATGCTCTGCAAACTTCAATCCGCTGTATTGCAGCCACGATTTAATTGCTGCGATTATTAAAAACTTATTGGAATAGTGCAAAAGAAGTGCCATAACTTGTTTCTTTTCACTCTTCACATGACCAATCTTTAACCTAAAACGACGAACATCACGGATTACTTCATACCAAGCCTTATTTAATTTAAAAAAATTCTTTATTTAATTTTATACGAACTATATTTATTAAAATATGTTTTTTAAATTAATTTAATTTATAATAAATTTTGCACTCACTCCCTTACTTTTTATGAGAATAAATACTCTCAGTTGTCAGAACATTGTTAGAACGCTCTTAATTTATGAGCGTCTACTGCAATTCTCTAATATATTATATAAAATATA